ACAGCAATAATTCACGGGTGGGAATGTGTAGAATCGAAATTGTATAGGACTCCTAGATCGACTACTCAATTCATGGACCAACCTGCGGTTTTTCATCGCATACTTTCTTCAGCTTAACAGCAAACTCTTCAGATGCCACTTCCATAGCTCGTTTTTTTGCTTGAAAAACTTCACCTAATTTCATCAGCTCGTCGTCCAATTTGCTCTAAAAAGCAAACATCTCTTAACAATTCTTCACTATAAATGTAATGCGTATACTGTTAGTAGACATCTCAAACAAACGAGTAACATCAATCAAACCGCGGCTTGCGAAGAGAAGACGCGTCCCATGCAGCAGAGATTACAAGCAGAAAAGAAATGCCTCGAATAGCGCATCTAATACATACGTTAATTTTGGTATTAAAAGAGCTTCACTTGTTATTATTTTTGGAGTTACAACACATCACTAACACCCGACAAAATGCAACAGGGAGCCAACGACGGGGAATACCTGATGCAGTGCCAGAGAAGTTGCCTGTTTTTTCAACATTTCAATGCGATTTTGCGCCAATATGGTTCGAGTATCCGTGACAATACTACCACTAAACAGATCTGCGATAAGCCGATGATTTCGATCAAATCTAAAAAAAACAAAAACAAGAACTGACAACATTTTCTCGATGTGTGCCAACATCAAAGATTCGCTCAGGACAGCTGCTTTTAGAAAACTGCTAAGACTTTTTGAACAGGCACTGAGGGGACCGATGTCAATGACGCTACTATATGATGTTCTCATACATGCGGTCTATTTATGCCAGGATCTTCGGTCCTAAGCCGCACATCTCCACACATTACCCATCGCTTCTGAGAGATATTACGAGGGAATTTCACGAACCTCACAGCTGCAATTCGACGAGCTGACAAATCGCCCAGCTCTTCATCCTCCACTGGTTGAATCACTACGCCACCTGTGTCCAGACGACCGCGGCTAGCTGCAAAAAACAGTTAAAACTTCCATCTTCGCCAAAAACTATGGCGTTTCATTTACTCACATATCCATCGACCATGATGCGAGTACCACGAATAACAAGACCGCTCGAGCAAATGGTATGGGAATACCAAAAATATGTGTATATTTTTAAACCAAACAAAAAGCGGCAATGTTTATCATTTGGGATCACCGAAATCAACTTTTTGAAAGTCAGTGGAGTTGCTGCGAATTCACTTACAGGCCTAGGCTCTTCAAAACTGCACCATATGTCTTCGGCATTTATCAGAAACTCAAAAAGAAATAAAGAATTTACCAGCAATTACGCCACCAACTGTATTCGATTTATCATTAGCTTTTGCTCGGCTTTTTGCAGACAAGTACTGCTGATAAGCAGTGGAGCTGTGATAGGCTTTCAGCGCCTTATCATATTCCTGCCGTTCTATATCGTATTCCTGAAATATCATCTTTTTTTGATCAAATATTAAGGAGAAGACAGTAGAGACAACGCAAGACGTGGTGATTTCTCTCTGTTTCTCAAATCAGAATTAAGCATCTCGTTTGCACATTGCCAATAAGAACCCCTTATCAATGTTGCACGGATTATCGGGTCAAAGCTCTTAGTTGTAGAAGTTATCTTTCGTTCTCGAAAATTTGCTTTTTCTGTAAGCGCATGAAATCATGGATGCCCCTTATAAGAGGGAACCTGCAATGTTTTGGGAGAAAATTATCCAAAATTCCGAAATTATTCTTGTCCTTCCTATTCTCCTAAGCAGGGAGAATAACTTCAAAACTAAACAACACACCCTCTTTGTTTCATTCTCAGAAAGAAGGGTGTAGGCGGATTAAGCATCCGAATTTGTTGAAGAAACAGCAACGAGGAAGTCAATCACAAATTAAGAAATGGTGGAAAGTGACGTCCTTGAAGTGCGGATATTCGGACAACGGCGAGCTGTGATGAATGACGCCAAGTTATGAAGGTAAGTACTCCGTTACTTGTACTTCTATCCTCTCCCCCTCTCCCCTCTCTCGCCCCTCCTTCTCCCGCTTGTCCTCCCCGCCCCCTCACTCACTCCATTCCCTACTTTTCCCTTCAGTCCCTCACAAACCCCA